TGGAGTCCCCTGGTCCTGCCGGTGGATCCCGGTGCAGGGGCTCGTCAGGGGCCAAGCACTGCCAGGGCCGTGGGAAATGGGGTCGGCCCGCGCCCCCCCTGCCGCTGCCGCTCCCCGCTCCGGTACCGCTGACCTTTGCAATCCTGCTGGGGATGCTGCGAACCAGGAGATGCGAACCAGGGGATGTGGCAGCCTCCTGCCTGAAAACTGATTAAAAAGGCTAAGTCCTCTTTTCTTGCTTGCATTAGCACAAGAATAAATAGTGCATATTTTCACCCCTGGGAGCCCCATCTCTGGTTTCACCCAGCTCCTGTTAGCATTAACCCTGGGCTGAGGTGGCTGGGCAGGAATGTCCCAAGAGCAGGAAGAGCCTCTTGCCCCAGGACATGTGGAGGAGCCTAAAGAGAGGAATTCATTCAGGCTGCTGCCGTCTCCTCCCTGGTGTGGAGCCAGCTGGAGCCAGGTACAATGCAGCCCTAATCCAGGCACATACCGTGGGGCCACAGCCCTTGTCCGGGCCTGACTCTGCTCCGGGAGCAGGTGGAGTTGGGGCCGAGAGCATCCTCCAGTGCCCGGGCACTGTGTCCATGCTGGGGGGCTGGGGAATGTGTGGGGTGTTCCCATCGGGGGCTCCTGCGGGACACTGGTGCTCTTTGGGATTTTGGTGTCCTTGGGAACCTTGCTTGGGGGAAAGCAAAGTTGGTGTAAAATCCTATTTTTGGAAGAAATTGGGGGGGCTCTAAATTTCACCTGCATTTAATGCTAAAAGAAGGGGGGGTTTGGCATGAGTGGAGCCCCCGTGCTCGTTAGGGAGCCCCAGCATGAGGGGTTGGGTGCCAGACCAGGAGCACAGCTAAATGGGGTTTGAGCAGGAGCTCGGTCCGGGTCCTGCTGCAGTGTTGGCTCAGGGGCTCGGACCCGGATTTTGCAAAAGCTCAATGTCTGTGGGCCGGGCTGGAGAGCTGCTTTGCCCACAGCTGCCCACTCGTGGGGTGCTCGGGTTCTGGCTCTGCCCAAGCCCGGGGACACCCGTCCTGGCTGGATGCAAATGCTTTTACAGCTTCTCCTGCTGCGTGCGCTCAGCCTTCGGCC